GTAATACAAATATGTACACTGTACAAGGTACTAATTAAGACAGGAAAGTCAGGACACTTATTTCCATACTCATCTCCAACAACACTAATAATGGCCATCTCCAAAGAGCAAAACATATCCAGCATGAAGGTACTCAAGGAATATCAAGAATAACATGTGGTAGTAACTTTTGATATGCAGAGTTCTAAACTTCAAAAACAAAAAAAGTTAGTAACAACCACTTTGCTTACAAAAACTGTAGAGTACCAGTATTTCCATCTGACCTTGTGGAGTTGGGAGTCATGATCATAAAATCTTTCTGGTAAACATACAACTGCTGCCTACATGTAGTCCCACAGTAAACATGTTGTTCGTACATCAGCTGGACACATTGTTACAGGGGCAGAGGGGAGGAAGTTTTCCATTCTGAACCAAAAGTTGTACTTGAGTCTGTATATGTGAGCATTTCCTTACAGTAAATTCTGGATATTTTGGATCTGAAGAAATGCATACACATTGGATTTATCTGAATTTCAAGTAAATGAAAGTTCTAAGTTATAATACACACATGCTCACTGAGTGTAGAACCAACTGTGTATGAATCAGACTTGTTTTTGTGTTTAGTTTCCTTCTTTCTATGCATTTTAACACTAACTGCCCCTTATCCACCAAACTCAAACAGCAGGTTTGCCAGGTTTGGTTCCATAATGGTACCCAATTAACTTCTTGTTGAATTATTTTGGACTTGGTATCAAAGGCCCATGGTGATGGTGTTGGAATTTGTGTGAGCTGGGACACACAGGGGTCATTGTGTGCAGTGTCTAGCTTGCTGTACCAAGTGTTGGACTATGCTTGAATTTGTCAGGTTTGGTACTGTTCAGTGCAAGTCATCCTAAACTGCATAGACCCATCCATACCATATCACTCAAACTCCAATGGGCTCATTCTGTTAGAGTTTATCAGGTTTGGTACAGTGACTTGCATGTACAAGTACATAGACAAGTACGTGTACCTGGTCAAGTTTGTTGGGTTCAGTATGTTCCCTAGTGCAAGAGCCTGAGATAGGGGGTTAGGAGTAATAGTGCATAGTCCTGCTCAAAATAATCCATTTACTGAGATTTTATGTTGTTAAATAAAAAAAAATCTTTTTCCATTAAAAAATATAATAACTGTATCAAACGTACCTTCATGCAGCAAATGTTCTGTTGTCTGTCTACCTTGTTTACAACGCAACATACAACAAATACTCAGGGTTTGTTTTTGCTTGCGTTTCTCCCATGTGTGAAAACACGACCTATCTTTTTGTGGTCACGTGGCTGCTGCAGAGTGGGCGATTGGACTGCACGTGTATTGGCAACAATTGGATCCAGGCTAGCTTTAAAGCAAGGGTTTATTGCTGTGATCGGTTTGTTTATTGAGCGTGCACACAATTGTACCTATAGAGGTTTTGCATGCCTGCCATCTTGCAGGCCAGTGCTTTTGTTCCACTGGGTATGTACAAAGGAGGTTTCTCTGTGGAACAAAAGACCTGCCCTGCAAGACGGCTACCATGCAAAGCCTCTATTCTTTGTGAAGGAATGAGAAATGAGTTGTCAGGAATTTTACAATAAAATTTTTAGAAAAACTGGTCAGAAGCTCTTGATAGAGTCATGTTGTAAAAAAGTTTAAAACACAAATTTCACGCTAGATTTACCTTTGTTTGTCAAAAACTGCTTGATGAGTTTATTATCTCCACTCACAAAGAATGCCATTGCTAGACGAATACAACAGTTACGTATGTCATCTTCAGTCTGTAAGAAAATAAACAGTACCACATAACAAAATCAGCTTGTAATATATGAGTTTTTAGTTACAACTAAAAACAGATTCAGCTTTTTAAAAGGCTTCTACAAACACTTTTGTCTACTTGAGTTTAAAACATTCAAGACATGGGGATTGATCTACATGTACCTCATAAATGTAAATAAAGGTATGTTGGATTAACTCAGTTTTTTCCTTTCTCTACCGGCTTATTCTGTTACAAAAACTAAAACCGCGGTAAACAAACACAAACACACAACGTCAAGAATAAAATTTAACCATTCAAATGTGCTGTAAATATAGCACACAAAATATAACTTCAATGGAACGCCCCTATAATGAACACGACGGGGTTCACATGAAATATTTGTTGTAGCGGTCACTTGGTATAGCAATCCAATCACATGTGCACACAACCATTTCAAACTCTGCACTTTATTAAAATGTGCTGGCAACCCTACAAAATGGTTTGGTATGAGAATCTGGGCCAACACTTACACAGAAAAAATATAGTTCCAAATAAACAAGGTATACCAGTGTTCCCTGCGGTGGCATTCCACACTGTATTTGGGATGAAATTAACACTGAGGATACTTTGTGACTGCCCTGTCATGACTGGGAATCCCTTTTGGTGGATACATAATTAAAAAACAAATTTAATCAGTTACATGTAAAAAACTTGGATTGGACTCAGATGCAAATGAATTTAGAGATAGCGCTTATAACAAGTGCTGTTTAAAAACCACAGGCGATTGGAACGTACCTTTAAATCCATTCTGTTGACTTGTGCCATAAAGACACCATGCTGGAAATTAACAGTAGAAAGAACGTCTCTGGCGGCTTGCTGACTGTAGGTGACCATGGCAATCAGGAGATTAAGAGCAGACATGATGAGAGAGCTGTCGTTATTACTATTCAGTGCATGGTAAATGTGAGAGATATGAATGTTGAGAATCTTCTGCACAATGTCCAAAGCAGTAGAACTATACTCTGGAAGACTGTCTGAGGTTTGCTGCAAAATCTGACTCAATGTATCAAAAGATTCGCAGAGCTGGGAAACAAAGCAGAATAAAAACATTGATCAATGACAAAAATTGTTGTGGCACATTGTGATGACAAATTTCAAGATGTGATAAAACCAAAATGCATGCAAATGTATTTCAAGATGCCTAGATTTAGAAGAGAACCCAAAGGGTTTCACAGGTTTCGACATTTAGGGTTTTAGAGACTGACCCCAAAAGACAATGTGAACTTGATCCCATATAGAGAAAATCATGAAGTGTTTCATACATGTACATCCATCCACTTTGACCAAAATCCATCCAAGGTCAATTGTTTTTGGTTTGATCTTTTTTGAGGTGTAATTATAGTAGAATCATTTACAGTAGGTGTGCACTGAATGAATTAACTTCCTTGTGCTGAATCATATTAACCGTCTGTATAAGCAAGCATGAAATCACAAATAAACCAACATTCACATTCTCCTCAGGAATAAATAATTTGTTAGGACATTTTACTAAAAATGAACAAGGTCAAGTGGTGGCTTAAGACTTAATGGTTTATGGCAGTCCATAATTGTGATATTTCTTTCAGCTTACCTAAAAAATACAGGTACAGTACATGTACATGGTAATTTTACCCTATGATTCAAAAGGTGTCCTGTCTTGCTGTAAAAAATGCTCTCATTACAAAAATAAATTTCTTTTGGGTGCCTTCTTCAAACACTTACTTGTGCAGCTGGTACTTTGTCCTCTCCAAGTAATTCCATAATCTTTGGCCACTGCTTGATTTGTTGAAAACATCTTGCAGCTGTATCTTCATTCTTTTCATCTTTACAAGGGGATGGCTCTGTTGCCATGGTGATACTAGAACAAGTAAACAAAAATACAGGATTAAACAAATTCTGTCACCATTTCTGTCTTGATTCAGACACATTATAATGGTTCCTGTGTCACCAGTCCCCTTTCAACTCAGCAATCAAAATGCCTTGTAAATTTTTAACTATGTAGTACTGGTACCGGACAATGTACCTGACCAAGTATAAACCAGAGCACTCATTCTCCTTTGTTCCAGCGCTGTACAATGCGACCAAATTAGTAGCATTTGCACCTAAAAAATAATCACATGCGACCAAAAGTTTTATCTTAATTGCAAATGGCGACCATGATTTGTACCTGTTTGTCACCTGCCTTGTCAGTCATATTTCATAAACGATCGCCGCCTAGTCTTGTTCTACATGCACAGTGCCAATTTCATGCTTTAAAACATGTACAAGGTACCCGGGTGGACTAGTTTGTGGTCGCATGCTGTACAGAGTGTGTATATAACTGGGAGACATTTCGCAAGCATATTCTCTAAATGCACCTAGCAGTCTATGCAATTCCAGTGCAATAAACTTGTCTCAATTCCAAATGTAATCTTGAAACCAAAAGGTTGCAAGCTTCCTTTAGCCTGGCATGGTGCCAGGTGTGAAATACTCGCAAGTAAAGAAACAAACACGCCTTGTCTTTTCTTTCAGCTGTGTTTTCAAGTAATTGATTGCCTATCTGTCCCGCAGATAAATGACAGCGTAATGTTGGGACTTAAACAAGTTTATGCATATTGCTGAAGAAAAGTGAAGCCTGACATGTGACATCTTTCCTTCTCATTTTCCTGTCACCAATACATGAAAGCCACACTATGATTGGCCCACTTTGCTTCCATTCCAATAACCAATGATAGCTCGACTTTCATTTTCATGGGGTCAGGAAAACAAGGAAAAGATAGGAACNACCTTGTCAGTCATATTTCATAAACGATCGCCGCCTAGTCTTGTTCTACATGCACAGTGCCAATTTCATGCTTTAAAGCATGTACAAGGTACCCGGGTGGACTAGTTTGTGGTCGCATGCTGTACAGAGTGTGTATATAACTGGGAGACGTTTCGCAAGCATATTCACTAAATGCACTTAGCAGTCTATGCAATTCCAGTGCAATAAACTTGTCTCAATTCCTAATGTAATCTTGAAACCAAAAGGTTGCAAGCTTCCTTTAGCCTGGCATGGTGCCAGGTGTGAAATACTCGCAAGTAAAGAAACAAACACGCCTTGTCTTTTCTTTCAGCTGTGTTTTCATGTAATTGATTGCCTATCTGTCCCGCAGATAAATGACAGTGTAATGTTGGGACTTAAACAAGTTTATGCATATTGCTGAAGAAAAGTGAAGCCTGACATGTGACATCTGAAAGCCACACTATGATTGGCCCACTTTGCTTCCATTTCAATAACCAATGATAGCTCGACTTTCATTTTCATGGGGTCAGGAAAACAAGGAAAAGATAGGAACTGTGCTGCAATTGGTCAAGGTGTCATGCAGCAGACAGTGATTGAGAGTACATGCTGTTGATTTTCTGTAGTGGGGATGGGCAACATACACTGTACTCAGGAATTTTACCATTTTAATTTAATGAAGACATAAGGTGAATAATCCTACCCCTATACATGTACATCTAACTTCACCAAGATGGCATGTGCATGTATGAAATTTTGTTGAACAAATAGCTGTGATGACAGAGTACCGGTAAGTTGGCACAATGGAAATAGCCTAGATGTGTTTATGCAACTTTATACATACATGTACACGTAGCTATCTTTAAAGGTTCTGTATATACCTTACAATTCTGGAATTAAGTGAGACCATAAAGCTTAATAAATTACAAATTATTTCATCACAATGAGCATGATGTTTAGAGTGCTACCAGTCATGCCAGTGATGGCTTCACGGTTTGCACGTCTTGTGCCCCAACCACATACAGATCTTTTTCACCCATGTGACTAAATGTAAACAATACCACCTCATGTGGATTGCCTTGGCCACATTGATCTGTCCTATGGGCAGCTTCAACCATGTGCAAGCGCAAGTGCGAAAGCTACAAGCTTGACTACTATATCTTGAATTGGTAGATTACCATCACAACACATCATACATGTAGGTCCAACACGATTGNTGTGCTGCAATTGGTCAAGGTGTCATGCAGCAGACAGTGATTGAGAGTACATGCTGTTGATTTTCTGTAGTGGGGATGGGCAACATACACTGTACTTCAGAATTTTACCATTTTAATTTAATGAAGACATAAGGTGAATAATCCTACCCCTATACATGTACATCTAACTTCACCAAGATGGCATGTGCATGTATGAAATTTTGTTGAACAAATAGCTGTGATGACAGAGTACCGGTAAGTTAGCACAATGGAAATAGCCTAGATATGTTTATGCAACTTTATATACGGTATATGTACCTTACAATTCTGGAATTAAGTGAGACCATAAAGCTTAATAAATTACAAATTATTTCATCACAATGAGCATGATGTTTAGAGTGCTACCAGTCATGCCAGTGATGGCTTCATGGTTTGCACGTCTTGTGCCCCAACCACATATAGACCTTTTTCACCCATGTGACTCAATGTAAACAATACCACCTCATGTGGATTGCCTTGGCCACATTGATCTGTCCTATGGGCAGCTTCAACCATGTGCAAGCGCAAGTGCGAAAGCTACAAGCTTGACTAGTATATCTTGAATTGGTAGATTACCATCACAACACATCATACATGTAGGTCCAACACGATGGTGACATCACAGGAAAATGATCTATAGACCGCTCGTGTGTGCGTCCTAGGAGGACCAAGTCATGTGTATTTGAATGAGCAGACGTGAAATACCACTCAAGCTCCAACAGTTTGCCTTTGACTTGTAAAGAAGCCAGTAGGCAATAGGTGGTGTTAAAGGTGCTAAATTGGGAATTTTGGGGGACCATTTTCACTTGACTATACATACATGTACATGTAATGTCGTGAAACGTTAGTATGCCTGTTTTTTGCTATGGTTAAATAATTGAGCAAAACGGGTGTTCCTATAATAAGGAGAGAAAGTCTACCTTTTTGAAACAACTGACCTAGATAAGGTGGTGATGATGTCCTTTCATATCAGAAAGAAAAGAAGGCAGGGCTTTGGTTTTTGAGGGAAATTATGGGGTAAAATGGCAGCCTAAATCACGACGCGACAAAGAGCAGAAGAGCTGAGACAAATTAGCGAATGTAGACTGGTACATGTACCTTGACCTGGATTTTTTTAATATAAAATTTAGTATATCCAAAATGGCTGGGTTGAGTTACCAGACGTGAAACAAACTGGCATGATTCAGTCATCTTTCGCCAAACATGTTGGAAAATTCTACCTGAACTAGAGCTAACTTCATTTTACATTATATTGGCACTTTCAAAGCAAAATCAATACATACATGTACATTGGATATTATTGAGATATTGACCAGTGTTGTAGTCGAGACCACTTAAGACCTTCACAAGACCACACAAGACCAACACATGACCTCTAGTCTGAATTAAAGGCTCAAGCTATTCAAATGAACTGCAACAAAAGCATTCCTTTGTCATATTTCACCCTGTTACTTGTGCCTGGTCTTGTGTCTAGTCTTGTGCCTGGTCTTGTGATGGTCTCGACTACAACACTGATATCGATGGACCTGGGCTTCATTTTCACTCATGGTGACTCAATTCACACTTCTCTGAAATAGTTTACTTGAAGATGATTAGATCTTGCAGAAAAAAAGTTTTGCTCACAGAACCGCTGCCATAAATTAAGAAGATCGGCAACAATTGTTTTTCACCAAACACAGTCTAAGTCTATAACGCAGCAGCGTGTGTGCGTTCAGCATGATGTTGCATCTATCGCTCTTTTAAATGATCATCGTGAAAAGTTTTTTCAAACTAATATTTGTTCTGCTATCGGAATTTGTCAGCTATCCCACTATCAAAAAATGAGTTTTGTACATTTTCCAATGTGTGTTTTGGATATGAAAGGAACTGCAAGATTTCTGGGCAGTCCTGGAAAAGAGTTTTAGATACGATACGCTTTCAGTGTGTGTGGCACATGTCCTGTGTCGGGACACAAGACAATACTGTGCTGATGTCGTGGTTTGTGGAACTTGGCAAACTTCCAGCCACCAAAAAGGCTTGCTAGCATT